GGCACTGGAGGCACACATTATTGGCTGGCTGGAACCCTTAGATGGTACCCTTCTTTTCAGAAAATGTGACTCTGCCAATCAATGGAATCATAAATGTATGTGACCTTTTGATGTCTTTACCTGACCTTTAATATTGTGCAGGACTTGAACTTGAGGTAAGCAATCCTAAATGGTGACATAGTATGATTCATTCACAAACTGCATAACAGGAAGCATGTAGAGTTTTTTCCCTGAGACCTCAAGTTGGATCGCATCCTTCTACGACAATTGCGCAATGAACTTGATTGGTTTCATGCAGGTGAGTTCTATAGCATGCAGCACTGAATAGCCTGACCTGAATGAACAATAGATGCATTAATATTAGAAAGTTCCACCTCAACAACTATATTTTCCAACAGAGAGACAATGGAGAAAATCATCAGCCAATTAGCCAGTCTTGGTATGTTCCCATGCATTGCTCTATCATACCTTGATGACCAGATATCAGATGGTCTTGCAGGACCTGAAGAAATCATAACAGAACTAAGTATTGTATTGCTTGGTTCATAAGCTTTCAAAAAATCTACAGCCATATCCTTATTTCATTTATGACAGGTAGACTATATCACTTGCTTTGTCGGTAGTTGCAAGGTGTTAGTACTGGACTGATTGCAGAGTCTATTGCAAAGGGATCTATCATTTTCTGTGTGAGCTGCTTGTTTGCAGGCATGTTTGCACAATGCTTCAGCGAGAAATTGAAATCTTTGCAATTTGTGGTTTGTTTATTTCATTTTTCAGTTGCTAAAGTCTAACATACAGTTTGCTAGGCCTATTACCTGGATCAGGGAATGACAGTGGTTATTATGGTGCTCAGCACACCCTGTTTTCTTGTATGATGAGGCAAGTCAACTTTTGGTCTGTCACTTGTGTTTACTTATAGAGAGAAAAGCATCACATGGTCTGGCTTTGGGTTCCTTGTGAGTGCCTTTATAGATGCCCAACACTTCAAACCTGCTCTCATTACATGTACCTGCTGCCTAGCTGTTGTGACAACCATTTTAAGCCCCTTGGCTTGGTATGGTTTACATGCAGGGGTGACACTGTATGTTCATCTTGAAGATGACTGATCTAAATAAGTAGGTTAAAGGTGGCTGGATGATGGGTGGTCTATTTATTATTATTTTTTCTTTCATCTGTTCTTCATTGACTAGTTCATTTTTATTTTTGTTTATTATCTAGTGAGGTGGAGCCCTATAGTAGACAATACATATGCTATTTAACTATTTATATATGTGCTCTGAGGTGTCTAAGGGTCTTTCTATTGGTCCAGACAGTTGCGAGGATAATTACGCCAACTGAAGGTGTATGGAATAATGGTAGAGACGGTACAGGTTTCATTAGGCTACGTTCTCTTCTTTGTCTCTGGATTGGGGGGGTTTACATCTCCGAAAACTTGTTCCAGCCTTCTTGTTCATGTAATGTAGTGGAGCAGTGGTTTGGTGTAGTCTTGGTTACTGAAGAGTTTTTGTAGCTGAGTGGGGCAATGCCTGAGTTCTTCCCTTTAAGAAGGCTATGCATTGTCTTACGTATTTGGGGCAGACTAATAGGATCATTGACTAGTATATTTTAATTATTACAAGTGTCGCCTACGGACAATTCTGAGCCAAAAATGAAAGGGGCTTGAGTAGAGTGTGCACATGGTATCGACACCAATTGGAAATATAAAATATGTAGAAGCGCTATCAACACAATAACATAGTTGGCCCACATATGCTACAGGGGACAGCACATTTTCCTGATCATAAAATAATTACTGTACCATGGTCACATAACATAGTCATATAACCTCTTTATCAATCATTTAGAGGTGGACAACCAAAGATATGAGATAGTTAACTTAGGCTGAAATATCACCAGAAGGGCTGATGATAACAGGTCCATACCAAAGGTCCTCAATATTGCAGCCAGATTATACAGAGCAGCCATTGAGTAAATATCAGTTGTTATGTGATATAGTTATCCAATATCATCATCACAAATTGAGAGGTGGATAACCAAAGGTGTAGGACGATAACTTATATTCAAATATTGCTCAAAGGGTAGATAGAAGCAGGCCCATACCAAAGATCCTCAATATTACAGCCATGTGATAGAGAGTAGACATCAAATAACTATGTGATATCTCATTGTCAAGCATTAACAAGGTTAGTCCAAAGGTACTTTGTTTGTGCAGACTTATCAAATATAACTAGATTTACCTAAGTCTCAGCATTTTCCTGATGATGGTAAGGATACCTATGAGTAAATTTGTATTGTGCCAGAGGACATACCTAAGTCCCTCTTTGCCACGCCTGATGAAACGATGATCAGCCACATTATGCAAATAGGTAATTGTAATGTGGAAGCTATGTACCAGTCCTTAATGAATTATATTTTTGGCCTATACATAGGCATCTTCATGGATGTCTATCTTGATGATATCATCGCACACTTGGACACTGCAGATGAATATGTACAATAAGTACAGACCATGATCAATATTCTGCATGATAATTATTTCTATCTGAGGAAACATAAGCTGCAATCCTTTAAAACTGAACTCACTATACTAGAGCACATCATTGATGACCAAGATATATGTCTGGACCCACATAAGGTTGATAAAATCATGAACTGAAAGGCACCTACCTTGAAGAAACTGTTAATGCAGTTCATCAGCTCAGTCGGGTATCTAGCCACCAGCTATGATGCTATCAGGGTGCACATGCAGCATCTCTCAAAGATCACTGTACAAACCACCTGCTGGGACTGGACTCCAATAGATCAACAAGCATTTGATCTAGTGTAAGTGTGCATTAATACTCATAGAAACATAAGACAAAAAGCACTTGACCTACTGAGAGTATCAACAGCACCTCTCTAGTCAATCTCATGACTGACGTGTCCTTCACAGAAGCCAGTGGTGTACTTTTGCAGGGTGACTTGGTCTAGCAAGCTGATGTAGCTGTGTTCTAGTCCGGGAAGTTTAACTCTGCACAACAAAACTACCTGGTTTACAAACAAAAACTATTAGCTATTGTAGAGTCTCTGAAAATATTTCAACACTTACTAATTGGCATTTAGTTCCATATCTTCACTGACCATAAGGGCCTGGAGTGGGTCACAACTCAAAACAAGTTGTCACCTAAACAAGCCCAGTGGTTAGAAGTCTTAAGCAAGTTCAATTTTCACATTAAGTACTTACCAGAAGCAGACAACACCCTGGCTGATGCACTGTTATGCATATACAGTAATGAACCTAAGGATATTGTGAGGGCACCAAGCGAGTTTATCAGCATGGAAAAAGAGAATGCACTAAAGACTCTCCTTCTCAATTTTGTCACTGCCCTGGTGTACACAGGGACCCCTCTCTTTTTGGATGTCACTAAGAATAGGCAGCTTGTGCACCTGGCAGAGAAGCTAGTGAGTAGACCTGGCAAGTTCTAGCCAAGCAACAGGTGCACTAGGCACCCTCACCAAGGAGACCAGGATAGTGAAAGCAAAGGTGTTCCTTAATAGGTCTTGGCAAACCCACCAGGCAGTGGTATTTCTCAGCAGGTTCTAATAAACCTGCCTAGCAGAGGTGTTCCTCAACAGGTTTCGACATACCCACCAGACAGAGGCATGCCTCAACAAGTCTTGACAAGTCAAAGAGACAGTGAACATCAACAGGTTCTGACAAATCTATCTGTTATTTCAAAGCTACTAATCAACTACTGCATCAGCACTAATATGATTGGTGAAGGACCACTCATCAGGAGCAACATGAGATCCCTTAAAAAGAGGGCTAGCATGCACCAGACAAAAGTGCAATCTCACCCTAAGGTGGTTGCCCATCACTCAGACCAATTGCATTTCAGCAACTTAGTAGACCAGGATATCAAAGGTGAAGGAGTGACACTGCAAGTTGGAGAAGAATCAGCCTCTAAGTGTATACTAGGAGACTCACCTGCCACTAGGAACAAGAGAATAATTCTAAAGATAGGTAGTAATTCTTCAGAATCACTGGAAGGCGAAAAGGTATCCAGTGTGAGAATTGACAGTGCTAAAAGAAAGACAATAAACATGAGTCCACAATCTGATATAAGCAATGAAGTTATTTGGTCTAGACATTCAGAACACACACAAGTCCAGCCAGATGTAGGCAATGTCATGGGTATCCGGCACCCACTGTGGGTCGTGGGTGTGGGTACCCAGGGGTATGGGTGGGGGTAGGTATTTAGGATACCCACACCCCTATCCACACCCATACAGTGGATATGTAGGCAAAAAAATTATCTTTACACTGTGATATATGATTCAACTTTGTCAAATATGCTAGTGGTGGTCTCAGTAAATGGTATGCCTAGGTTGAATAGCTAACAACTTCATTTTCAATAATACTATCTTTGTCATCTATATTGATTCCATTTATCATGTTACATGTAGACTATAGAAACACAACTTTGAACTTTGGTTCAGTAGTGTTCAATCCCTATGTTACTGATATGTTAACTAATTAATAAGATAAACTAGCCATAGACTCACCTTAAATAGCACTACAATTTTCATCAAGATACATAATGATAATAACAACTTGTGTTTGGCCAAACTCATCAATATGTATTTTTATTTTGCTCAAATTACTAAGGTAGACGACATCCAAATCCAGCCACATTTTGTATCACCTCCGTGTACAGGTTATTTCACAAACATACTGCATATTAGAGCCTATTAGCATGCAAGAATGTATTCCAGATACCTTTGGCTACAATGTGATGGAAAAAAAATCAAAGAATATTTATTTCCTGTGATGTTATTTCAACTTTTATGAAAAGTGTCCAAAACACCTCGAATAGTCTTCAGACACAGACTGATGAGAGAACATAAATTTGATGTCGAGAATTTGGCCATGTCACGTGATATATAATCTTACATAATCCACCAAAAATGCGAAGCAAAGTCTACCAGGAGATTGGCTCACAAATCTCAATAAGCCAGCTATGGGTCGCAGAAAGACCTGCATTAAAAATAGGCTCAAGAACCTGCATAAAAATCCCCTTAAAGTCAAGTCCCAAGCACCAGAACCTGTCACATCAAGCACATCAGAGCCTGGAATAGACTGTGACTCCAAGTCAGAAGCATATACTTCTGATCTTGAGTTGGAGGACAGTGAGGATGAGGTCATGCAGGAAATTCAAACAGATTCGGACCTTCTTGCCTTTGCTGCCAAACTCCAGGCAGTACATGACAGTATGGTTAGAAAGGAGAGGGAAAGACAAGAAGCCACAAAGAGAAAACCAGTCTACATGGGAAATTCAGACCGGACAAAACGGAGGCAGAGACTCGAGGGAAAGAAAATGGAGGCTGCTGGATTCCCATCCATAGTGTCATTCTTCCGAAAAAATGCAGAACCTGAGAGCAGCAAACAGGAAGACAGAATACAGGTGCGAAATAATGGATGTGAAATTGGAATATGCTGAATGATTTTCCGTCAGATTACCAATAGCAACCAGGTGCAAGGAGCCAGATATGTCATGGCAGATCCAGAGATTGTTGAGACCCAACAGCCATCTCAGTCCGAACGAGTCACAGATCCACAAGCTGATGTTGCAGCTGATTCAGATGCAGAATCCAAGTTCCCAGTCACATTTGACCTTCCGGATCATCGAGATCTCCCAGCTTTGCGAAGAGCCAAGGCTGAATTGATAGTGAGGCACAAGAAAGATAATCTCAAAATGTTTATCTGTGCTCGTGTCACCAGTATGATTGCTCTTATCAGTCTGTATATTGATCCAGAGCTTGGATTTGGGTGGATGAAATGCTCTAAGCTTGCAGCAGAAGCAACTGGAAGAGGGGTCAATCATGCCCGAAATTTACGCAGATGGGTTGTGGACTACATGTGATTTGGGACACTGCCCCTCCATAGATATAGCCGAATGGGAACCTCTATCCTTCAAGACAAGGACCTTGCACAACATATACATCTCCACCTCCAAGGCATTGCAAAAGATGGCTACGTGAAAGCACAAGACATTGTGGATATTATGGCAACTGCAGAGATGAAACAGTACCTAGGCTCAAAGACTGGCATCACCATTCAGACAGGTCAGTGTTGGCTGCATAAGATGGATTGGAGATACAGGAAGGCAACAAAAGGAATGTACATTGATGGCCACGAGCGGGCTGATGTTTTCGAATATCGGAAAGGATTTTTGAGCCACATGAATGAGTATTCAAAACGGATGACAACTTATGATCACAATGGAAATGTCCTATCCCTGCCCACTGGAATTTATCTTGCTGCCGGAATCTACCCACTCGTCAAAGTTACCCAGGACAAATCTACATTCACGATGCATGATAGACAACAGACGAAATGGGACCACAAAGACACAAAGCAACCAGAGGCGGAGGGAGAAGGGCCCTCATTGATGGTTTCAGGCATGTTGACTGAAGAATGGGGAGAGTTGAGGCATGGCAACAGGTGCATTGAAGATTTACCATCATTCCCAATTGTAACTTTGCCTCCACAGTAAATCCCAAGTGCTGTTTAAGCCGGGTAAAAATTGAGACAGATACTTCACCAATGATGACCTCGTGAAACAAGTTGATAATACAATTGATATCTTCGAGGAGAAGACTCACGGTTTCAAACGAGCCCTGTTCTTGTTTGACAACGCAATGTCGCATCAGAAACGGGCACCTGATGCCCCGAGTGCAAGAAAGATGGTGAAAAACCCAAAGCTTGGGTGGACGTGTCACCCAAATGGACCAAAAATGCGGAATACAACCTTGCAAGATGGAACACAACAAAACCTTTACTTTCCAGATGATCACCCCACAATGCCTGGGTGGTTCAAAGGCATGCAAGTCATTCTGGATGAGCGTGGACTCTGGTGAGCAGGGCTTCATGCAGAATGCAAAGACTTCAAATGTGCCGAAGGTGCCATTGATTGTTGCTGTCGTCACACATTGTTCAATCAACCTGACTTTCAGAACGTCAAATCACATCTCGAAGAACTCATCACTGCCCATGGACATCTGTGTGACTTCTATCCCAAATTCCACTGCGAGCTCAATTTTATTGAGCAATATTGGGGTGCTGTCAAGCTTCTGTATCGCTCAGGTCCTCGGGTCCACAAGATGGAAGATATGGAAAAGCATGTCAGTGCATGTCTTGATGATATTCCATTATTGCAGATCCAAAGGTAAGCTTGAAACAATCTTCAGCCAAACAACCACATCTAATGGTGCTGTCTCCAGGTATGCAAATCGTTCTGCAAGGTTCATGGATGCATATACCAAGGGTCTTACAGGGCCACAAGCAGTTTGGGTGACAAGGAAATATCACGGACATCGAGTCATTCCGAATTCTATTTTGGAGGCTTTAGACACAGGGGGAAAGATATGATTGACTACAGTATATATGATTTTGACAAGGCAACGGTGAAAGAAAAGATCGCAACTGGCAGATTTGGCCGTGGGAAACATGACATAAGCAATGTGGCACAGTGGTTGAATCAAAATGTCATCTACCTTACGACCTGTGAATAAAAGGTATCTCTTGAAGTTCCACTCTGTTTCTTCTTCTGACCTTGCTCCTTCACATCCTTTGTGGAATTGGAGAACAGCTTGATGTGTGCATCTTCATTTTTCTTGCACCAGGCAAGTAGATGTTCCGTATGAGTGCTATGAACCCCCTCCCAATGGATAGTGCATTTCTCCCCAGTGTCTGTACTGGTGGATAGGGAACTGCATGGGTATGAGTACCGCTGGGGTACAGGTATGGGTCTGAGGTCAGGATACCCTTACCCCTACCCATACCCATACTGCGGGTATCAGTCAAGGTTTGCACTCTTTGTTTGATGCTTTGGCACATATTGCTTATGTTATATTGTTTGCTCTTGTTAGATTCTAAAGGATGCCACACTTTACTTCTCACATGCAACACCTAACCTTGTGACAGTGATACCAGCAATGGATCACATAGACAAGATGCTCACATCCTATTTGTACCACAAGAAATATCTGTCTTTGATTCATTCAGCAGTTCGGCTTGCAAAAAAGACACTCAACTGGTACTATCAGACCATCTTCTTCAACACAACACCTATTGTCAAGTCCCACAGCTGAAGTCTATTGTCATGTGAGTTGTCCTTGATCATTCTTGCTTGTCTTTACTCCTTGCTCATTTTCTCAGACCTCCACTGCACCCTCTCATACATTGCGCGCACCCTCTCATATCCCACACACCCTCTTGTACATCTGGCACACCCTCTCGCACCTCTCAGACCTCCACCCTCTCGTACATCCTGCGCACCCTTCTCATGACTCCAATCTACCCTCTCATACATCCAGTGCATGCTCTCATGAGTCCATCAATCCTCATTCAAGCAAAATCCATGCTGATCCGAGTCATTGCCCACCATTCACAGTTGGTCAGTCCATTGATCCTGATTCAGGCAAGAGCCATGCTGATCTGAGTCATTGCCCACTGTTCGCAGACTGTGAGTCCATTGATCCTCATTCAAGCAAGAGCCATGCTGATCCATGTCATTGCCCACCGTTTGCAGTTCGCAAGTCTGTCGATCCTCATCTGAGCTTGAGCCACACTGATTCAAGTTGCTGCCCACCGTTCGCAGGAGGTGGGTGTCTCATTTTTACAATTACTAACACTGGAAGCATAAAAGACTTTTTCAGCATGAAAAATCTTGAAAAAATCCTAAAAAAGGTTTAAATAAATTTCATGATTCTGTTGCCTGCAAAATGCTGGTTAAAATCTGAACTTTCTATCTACTTTTGTTTGGTGCAAAAGGTTGATCTTAGTTAAATCTTAAGTCACTGTTCATCCACAATATTGTTGTCTCAACACGTAGTTTAACCATTTGAACAATTTTTCTCTGGTACAAACCTAGACAAAACTTTGACTTTGTGCTATGATAGTGAATAAACTTTTGAATAACTTTTGTCAACATTTGTGCAACCATAAAAGTTGATGTTTTTATCACTCTTTTGTTAATGTTTTTGTTACCTAGATATCTTGGATGAATTTTTTATAATGCATCAGATAATATTCAATGTAGTAATCAAGCTTAGATCAACATTTTGTCTCTCACTTTTGTTTACCTTTGTTCAGGATTCAAGCAGACTTCTTATGCTGTTATTATTTTATATCCAAAAACAATGCAATGCATTAACTTTGTTGCAGTTACATATATTAATCTTACTGTGAATCAAAAGTTTGTTGGGATTTAAAATGCTTTCAGAAGAGAATTTTGTGTCAGAACATCAGTTAAAGCTTATTGGTATTTTATATGTATGATTTAACAGGGAGCTGCCAGAGAGTCAGAGATAACCTATCTAAAATAATCCCATCATGTGCTCCACCTCAATAGGTGTTTCATCTGCACTGCGCAAGTTTGCTTGTATTTTTTTGTCTCCTCCACTTTGCTGGTGTACCAGTGATCATGGGAGACTGTGAGGTATGGTATCTGAATACAATATTTGATGGACCTTGGCATTCACTGTGGCTGAGGTCTGAAAATGACAGAGGAGATGAAAATTGAAACAAGGCTTGCAGGGACATTCTTTTTCTCGCACAAGCACACAAAATGTAGCACAACCAAATATTTCTTTGTGACCCTTGCCTACCAGCTCATGGGCAATTTTCCCAGCATCCAGAAGGACATGAATAGAGCTATCCACAACAATCCACAGGTTCTAGACTCCAGTAAGTCTCTTCATGATTAGATGAGGCCTTATTTTGCCAGCCTCTCTGACACCTGCAATTCAAGCTGTGGGAGTATCCACCTTCGGTGTTCGTTGTCAATGCCCTTGATAAATGCCAGCCTGTAACAGTCACTGATCTGATCCACCTCCTTGTAGAAGCTCTTCATGATCCTGAACTTTCTGTGATTCACATTTTGCTCACAAGTCGCTTGGAGAAGCATATTCACCAAGCTATTCAAAAGAAGAGATGGACACGCTGGTGTACCAGTGAACATGGGAGACTATTTGAATACAATATTTGATGGACAACATTCTGTCACTTAGACACAGAGGGTTACAGTATTTTTCCAATTTGTGCAATCCCTTCCACATATGTAGTTGCATTGGCTCAAAGCACTCGAAATCGCTGGATAACAATGTACCACTACACTGAGCCAGTAGGTTCAGAGTTGCTTTTAGTTCCAGGAGATTCTGTTGAATGATCCAGGAGTTCAAAACATTTGGACTTGAAGGATCATGGAAATATATTTGTGAGAGGACTCACTGGCAGCAGAACAGCTAGCGCTAAGTACAAGCACACTCATCACATATCAGCACTAAATGGGCGAGGCTCAATCATGCTGCCATTAAAACCAGAGATCTCATGGTTTGAGCCTTTTCAAAACTTACCTTGGTCCAAGAGAAATGTGAGAGCTGGGCAAAAGATGCAGCATGAAGTGTGAATTATGACAATAGTGACCAAACAATAACCATGGACTGAGTAGAGGACCATCAAGAATACTCCACACATGGCTTTGAAAGTTGAGTGTGATTCTGAAAAGGTCTTTAAAATGCCAGATAGATGTCCTATAAGGCAAATACATCAAGAGAGAGATGATGAAGCAATAATAAAATAAATAACCATGTGCTGCATCTGTACTACACATATTTATTAGTGACCACTACTGTGTGGAGATGTACAGCAGAGGAAAAGTACAAAACAAGCACACTGGCAGGCCTGTATAGGTGGTGATTGCACAGTTTCTGCATACATTAACAAAAGAGTGATAAAAACATCAACTTTTATGGTTGCACAAATGTTGACAAAAGTTATTCAAAAGTTTATTCACTATCATAGCACAAAGTCAAAGTTTTGTCTAGGTTTGTACCAGAGAAAAATTGTTCAAATGGTTAA